AATCTGCCTTTTGCTATCAGACAACAAAAAGGACAAGAATACAGAGGGAGACAGCAAATTCGTACCTAATATTGCACATTGTCAATATTAACAAAAGTCCATTTCCTTCTTTGTTTGTGCAACTGCTTTAATTTGCAAGCTTCACGGAATCTTAGTTATCGATATGGGTTATTCTTAAATCATTCATCCACTCATAATTGTAAGTACTTGCTCAAGGAATTAATTGGCAATGAGATACTATAACTTAGACAAATATTATTAACAATTTGGTGAAAAAATTACCCCCATAAAGAGTCCTAGTTTCCATATATAGATATTCCGTCCAATCATGCTAGATCCATCCTGTGACAGCAACAGCAGCAGGACTTCTTTGAATTCGGCAAGAAAACAATTTCCACAAATTACAAGGGTGAAATTTGACCTCAAATCTTCAAGACTACCATCAATTATCATTAGTCCTGACTAGTTTTGGGTAACAAATTTGACTAACTTTGTACTATCAAGAGAAAATAATGAACCAAATGACTTTGACCAAAGGTATAAAGAAACTTACCACACCCTCCCTGGTCCTTAACGCCAGTCACAACCCCATGCTTCCTCCAGTCCAAAGATGTAGGAGCTTCACAAGAGGCTGCCTTGGACTTTCTCAAAGCAATATTAAACTCACCTCTTTGATCTGTTATCCTCTTCCCATCCTTGATCTTTGAAATATACACCTTCTTGAACTCCTCGTTACTCATATCAGCAAATTTGTTCAACCCCACAACATGCCCTGAGTTCGATTGCCTCATTGAGTTCTTCTCCACTATATACTTCAAATTTTTTCTGAAATTCTGGAACCTCTTCTCTGCCTCCTGTACATGTTTGTACACTTTTCCATGCTTTTCCTTCCATTCTTGGAAGATCTCAGCGACCCTTTCCTCTGAAAGAAACTCTTCATCATTTTTGCCTATAATTGAGTATTGATCATTAAGAAGACTAGAGCTCAAGGTTGTAAACGTGACCAAAACCAAGAAAAGAACTAGCAAAAGAAGGGAAGCATGGGTCATTGTTGTCATCTGCATTTTCCCTATCCATGATTTCTGATATTTATAGTCCATTATTGTGCAAGGATGAAGTAATATACTTCACCCACCAGTCAGAAATATTAAACTCCACAAGTCCGCTCTGCTCGTGCACGTGTGTTTGTTGAAACCCCAATTCAAGCGTATAGCTTCCTTTTCTGGTGGGATGATTGTCTTGATAATCTTATTAAAGAAGAAATAATTTTGGCTTGTATGTTCATAGCCTTTCAGAAGAAAAAAGTCTTTGAACCATGGCTTAATATTAATATTATTTTTTTATCTTTTGCCCCCAGAAATATACAGTATACGGATTAGTTCCAATTCCATAAATCTGTCAAAAATCTTTTGCCCCACCTTTGGTTTGTTCAAATATAACTTTTTTTTTTAAATATTATTTAATTTGTATCATAAATATATTTTTCAATCAACATTTTATATTATCAATAATATTTTTATTGAATATACATCATATTAAGAGAAATATAAAAAGTACTATCATATTATTTTGGATAATTTTTCTCAAATAATCTCCTGACCAAACAGCATAGTAATGGTAGCTCCCTTATGGGGCATACCTACCAATCCGAACGAATTAAAACTGTTTGGTTGCAAGTCCACGGTGACCGTTTGTTCCATAATCCCATATCAATGTGAACAACTTTCTCATCACCTTTGACCGTTATGTGGGCCTTTTTACTGTGTTTTCAGAATCGGACCGGATAGCGACTCGGCCAAGGTCAGGGGTCAGGGGTCAATAGGTTCGACCGGAGGTCGATAGGGATCGAACCGGATGACGTCATAAATAAAAATTATTTAAAAATTAAAATATTATATTTATAATATCTAATAATATATTGATATTAATAAAGGTATATTCATATATATTTGATGTTTCAAATATATTTAACAAGAAAATATAAAGAAATTAGAACAATTAAGTAGCAATTTATATTATTTAATAAATATTAACAAGTTTAGAATTAAAATTATGAGTTTAATTGAAAAATAACATCAAATTTTAGGACAATATTTATAAAGTATCAAATATTTGAGGTATATCGATAAGTTTTAACAATTTAGGGGGTCAAAACATAATATTATAAAGTTTGAATTTTTTTTAAAAAAAAATTACTGTTGAACCGGAAAAACCGATTTTTTCCGGTCAAACCCGGTTTTTGACCGGCTTTGACCGAGTTTTAAATTTTCGGTTTTTTAATACGACTCGGACCAGCTACCTGGCCAGTTCCCGGTTCGACGGGCCGGTTCAGTCCGAGTTTCAAAACAGAGCCTTTTTAGTCTTCCTACCCCAACTAGGAAGCACTTTATGTAAAATCGGAAAATTTTTGGGATCGCGTTTGAGATTATGTCACGTCATTTCATCAAGTGACGTGGCACAATCTGAACTATTAAATTTTTTTAATAGCTGGTCTATCCGAATTTTGACCTAATTTTTGTACTGAGGTTTTCAACTTTTCATACACTGCGGGAGGGATGAGGATGAAGGCACTCTGAAAAGAATGGATTCTTGATATTTCAGCAGAATGGAATAAATTTCACTGAATGGAAAGGACCATTAATTTTGAAAATCAGTCTAACTTTGAATGATTTTTCCGGAATGGTATGATACTGGATCGTGTTATATTCAACTAGTGCTACATCATAACATCTTACTTTTAACCATTGGTTGGATTTCATAATTTTCATTGTATGTGATGTGTACTAAATGACTAAATTCATTGGCAAATTGTCTCAGAATGAGTTGACTGGATTTCTTCCAAGCTCATTCGACAATTTGCAGAAGCTTCAACGATTATCTTTGAGCCACGTACAATACAAAGAGAACGGGAGTGTCCGTCCCCATCAGTCTCTGTAAATTACAGAAACTTGGGAATCATGGAGTTGAGCAGCAATTACGGGGTTCAGTTCCAAATTGCTTAGGCAATGTCACGTCCCTACGAGAGATTTATCCAATGCATTGTCTTCCAATATACCTACAAGCTCGTGGAAATTGAAAGATCTCTTTGTCCTTAACCTTTCCTCAAATTCCTTGCATGGTTTTGTACCTCCAGCTATTGGAAATCTCAAAGGTACTGCTGTTCTAGATTTATCAGTCAATCAATTGTCAAATAATATTCCAGGTTCAATTGGAGATTTACAAAACTTGTTCAATCTTTCTTTGGCACATAATCAGCTGACAGGACCTATTCCCGAGTCAGTTGGTAAAGTGTTACGCTTAGAACTTTTAGATCTATATCATAACCTTCTCTCTGGTTTGATTCCCAGAGAAATTTCCAAAATGACGATGAACTTTAAAAAGTCTCTGCAAAGGGGCCGTTTTGAGTATAGAATTCCGTCCAAGGGTCAAGAGCTCGCATTTGCTGAATGGGAAGTCACTTTAAATTTTCGGCCCACAAAATCCAAAAAAAAAAAAAGAAAACCAGATGCGAGGACAGTCTGGCACCTCACAATTGATATAGACAATGCAAATTGACGGTTCATTTTTTTTTACTGGTTTATTAAAATTTAAACTCACCCTAAACAAAAGGACATAGCAAGATAGTCCCTAAACTCACCCTCCAGCTACTTTTCCGGCTTTGAAGCTTTCCGCCGACTTTTTGAAGCTTTCCGGCGACAACATACTTTTATGGAGACGGAGTGAGTTTTTGCAGCTTTTGGAAACAAATCTAGAACTTCCTCGGATGTTTGAAACCTGATGATGGATGCTATGTTTGTAGCGGTTTGAATTTTGGTATTGGCCTAAAAAACGGGAATAATTTTGGTATTCCCAAATCCAAATTACCTTAGGTTTTTTTGGGGGTTAGAACCTGCTCCTTTGTTTCGAAGATGGGCGGCTTAGTTGGGAAAGTAGTTAACCAAGCTTGCATTTGTTAAATGCGAGCTTTGTGCACTTCTTTTTTAAAAAAACAAAAAATTTTTATCATTTTTTTCAGGAACATGAACCTCGCATTTATCAAATGCGAAGTTCTTAAACTCACATTTGACAAATGCAAGATTCTACTTCTAGAATCAGCCCTAAAAACAACCTCTCTTGTAGAACAATTTTTTTTCATAACTATTTAAAAATTTACTCTTGATTCCCAAGTCTTTGGAGGCACTTCAGACTCTCAAGTACTGGAATGTTTCCTTTAATGGTTTGAGTGGTGAAGTTCCTTCAAATGGTCCTTTCACCAATTTCACAGGTGAATCCTTCATGTTCAATGAGGCACTTTGTGGTGCACAAAGGTTGGATCTTCCACCATGTCATACAATTACAAATCACAACTCAAGTAGAAGAAAAGTACTCCAACTTGTATTCATCGTCTTGGGGGTTGCCTCAACAACTATTGCCATAACTTTGGTTATATTATTGTTGAGAAAAATAAAATTATATTATTTTTTTTCTCCTTTTGCTGTAGTCCTACTAATAACTAAAAAAATTAAGATAAAAAGCCAAAAAATCAAGAATACAATTTTATAACCTTGGATCCTAGAAAGAATTCTAAGCAAGAGGTCTGAGTTCAAAACCTTCCATTTAAAGAAAAAAAAAAAAAAACTTGGGCGCTGTAGACCGAATCTATCATCCGCCTCCATCTTGGACACGTCATGCGGAATATTCCCTGCTTCTGCTGCCCATTTCATTATCAGTTCACCTAAAAAATGCGATAAACAAAAACATAGCAATAATTAAAAAATAAGAAGTGAATCAATTTTTAATGTGAGATTCCGCGGGATCATCATTTTCCTTTGGCTAAATGCATCAATTTTTTTTTTTTTTTTTGCCAAATGCCCAACCCAAGATTTTGTAAGCAAGCTAAATGTTGATCACTAATATCTGCAAAATCTCTACCAAACATTCAATAAACCAAAAAAAAAAAAACTAAATGAAAAAGTAACTTTGAGTTGCGTTAATTAATTCTTACGAGATCTAATTAAAACAAGCACAAAAAACCCAAAAAAAAGAAAACACTGGAATCCAAATGACTAGAAAAAGTCCAGCCAACAAAATAGAAAAGGAGAAATAGGAAAATTCAAAAGCTTGAAGAGTCATGCAGCTGGAGGAACTTGAACTTTCCGTGCCATTTTCTCACTGATTTTAGCCAAAGACCTCAGGTTACAGGCAACTATGGTGTCAGCAAACAAGCACGTATCCATCTCACTACTGTCCGGTGGAATATCCACAACGTAAGATTCAATCACCACCGTCTGATCGCTCCTTCCCCCATCATCCTCATGCAACGTAGTTGTGGACTGATAATTCACGAGCCTGTGATCGCCGCCAATTATGCTGAACTCCATAACATGCAAGTCATCATCCAGTTTATCTAGTCTTTCCCTGCTTGTTTCAGCCGGCAAACCTGACACGACCATGACCTCCCGGACGCTTCCGATGCCGCCGTCACCGGCTATCATGGTGCAGTTCTTGATGAACCGCTTGTAGGCTTGTGGGTTGTCGAATTGACGGACCAAAGACCAGACCAGAGAAAGCGGTGCGTCTATTTCTTGGACTAGGCTTGAAGTGCACCGGTTTGGGAAGAGATCATCGTGGGCGTGATATTGGTTCATCATCTTTAGCAGTGCTTTGGAGTTTTGGTTACTTTCTTGATGACTTGGAAAGGGATTGTGATGCATTATTGATTTGGAGGTCTAATTTCAAATTCGATTTCTTGGGGCGTGACATGAACTTTTGGGGCAGCCAAGACCAAATTTATACAGGGGACATGAATGATGGGTAGCTATGTAAAAATAGAAATTGTAGTCTCGTAATCTTCTCTCTCATTATTCAAACTAAAGTATCAAACAGACCGAACTTGTCCTCCGCAATGGAGCTAACTAAAGTATCAAAAATAACTAAATGTCAAGACAAAAATTATTTGTTAACCACAAAGGGAGCTATGTATAGATTGTAAGGGTTATGTGAAAAAGTATTAAATCATAGGAATACAATTATATATATATATATATATATATATATATATATATATATATATATTGGTCATTTCAGATAATTTTAGCTTCTAAACTAGCATTTTTTTTTTTTTTTGCATTTTAGACAACTCCATTATAAAGAACATTTTCTGTCGCTTTGAACGCTTTAGTCCAAACCAAAAACAGACATAACGGGATAGAGAGGGGGCATCGCCCTAAGTTTTACAAAATATGTTCTTGTCCAATAATCGTTTGAAAGTTTTCAATAATATTCTTTATAAACAAAATTTTTACCTCCTTGAAAATTTAAAAAATATTTAAATTAACCATAGAGTACGTATATGAAATTCGGCTCCTCAAAGTATAACTTTTAAAATTAGCGAAGGTTATAAAGAAAAGCATTAAATCACAAGACAAGACGGTAAAGCATAATTTATCTAACAATGAATCATGTATATATAACTTTTTTCTATAAAGAAAAGCATTAAATCACAAGACAAGACGGTAAAGCATAATTTATCTAACAATGAATGATGTACAACTTTTTTCTAGTGGATTATGAGGGAGTCCGTTAAAGGCCAGACTCCATATAGATCATATTGTTCATGTTCTCCTACTAGCTAGCACCTACTTGACTGTTAGATCAGATCCGTTAACAAAACGTTGCTATCAAATTATAAGGTTTTTATTCTCAAATTTTACTGCTGGGCGTCTTGATGATCACCGGCATAATTAAGGAACACGAACATACAACTTGCAATTTAGAAGAATTGATCGCCTAAAAAACTTCGCCATTATCAAGAAAAAAAATTAAGAAAAAAAGAAGAAAGAAACAATGTCCTATTTTGGAATTATGTACCTTTGAGTATCGACCACAAAAGTTGATAATATTTAATGTATTGTGTAACAAGACAAAAATATGCTAAAGGAAGTGATTTTGAACTTGAATTTGTGGCTATCTTTGGAGGTTTGTTATTTTTTTATTAGTAACAATTTTTTTGGCTTTTTTCAGCTGGGATTTATTGTTTTTTTTTTTTTTTGTCAATTGTCATCTCTATTCCTACTCTTACTCTGACTAGGAAGAGATCCAATTGAGCCTACGAAGAATCGATGGAGACAGAATCACCATCGAACAAGACGGGTGCACTACGCACCATCCGGCAGCTATGCTTTATTGGCTTTAGTGCTTTGTTCTGTTCATGAATCTCCATATCAAACGTCTTCGGCTTATGCTTTTGGACAAACTCTTGATAGCAAAAAGCCTAGCTTGAAGGCGGGGAAATTTGTCGGAATGTTTTCCCACTTTAGTTGATGACGTATAAGCTGTTATGTGTGGAAATTGCTGAATTTGATGCCCTAAATACTTAACAAAGTTTATTTCGTATACGAAACCTAATAGCATATGGTAATAATTGTGGGGGTAAACTTTTTGAATAACAGAGTTTTAATCGTTTAACTTTTAAAAATACATATTTATTCACTAAACTATCAAAAATATAAATTTTGAATCGTTTCATCTATTTCCATCATTGAGTCTATTAAATCTAAGGGCTGCACAAGTCACCTGACAAGACCAAATATGACAGATTTAATGGTAGAAACAGTGAAATAGGTTAAATTTTTATACTTTTGATAATTCAGTGAATAAATACTTACTCTTCAATTCAAAGTTGAGTGATTAAAACTATACTCTTCGAAAAGTTGGATAGCTATTCGGGTAATTTGCTCTAATATTGCACTGGACTAAAATGCTTTTCTTCAACCCTTTTTTTTTTTTGTTGTTCATGAACCTAAAACGCCACAACTCTTGCTGTCCAAATACGACAGCAAGTACATATATAAATTTCAGTTCACAGAAGTATCTTTTTTAAAACTTTTAGGCTAGGATTGTATTTTACTTTTTCAGTAAACAAAGCCCAAAAACCAATTAATCCAAAAAAAAAAATAGAAATTTGATCACGCAAAAGAAATTCAACTTTATGTTTTTTTTTTTTTTTTATCAAAACATGCATGCACAACTGCAAAATTACCTCTTTGGACTGCAGGCGACCATTTGAGAATCAAATGTTTGGTACAAAGATGAAAATCTTGTCTATATATTTAAGCTTTTGCATAACTTTTTTCTCATAATGTGTTGTTTCTTTTGTTGAATTTTACCAAAGGTGCAACTATAATATACAATTGCAAGCATGATTCTTGGTACGTACACAATATACATACTTGTGAATCGTACAAACTTAAACTCTTTATACTCTCTCATAGATATTTATGTTACCAAATTTCTAATCCATTATAATTCCCAATAGAGAGATCAGAGTTTAAATCCCACTTCGTGTAAATGAGAGCATTGTGCTTCTCATTTTTTAAAAAATTCGGAGAATACAGTAATTCAACTGTTGGATTTGAAAGGAGGGTTCTTTGTTGCTTCGCTCCTCCTCCTCCTCCTATGTTGTAAGAGTATACAAATTGTTGCCACCAAACAAAACAAAAGAAACAGAAGGGTAGCGGTTCTGCCTTAGTTAACGTGGCGAATAGAAGTGTCACTTTTTGGACCAAGTAAAGGAAACCTGTGACTGGCGTGGATCCTACATTTGGCCTCTTTTCTCCTAAGATCCTCTTTCTTTTTCGATTTTTTTTTATCTAACATTTTCTTGACGGAAAGCAAGAACGGTAAATAAACCTAAAGTCCCCGATTTCTTTTTCGAAGTTAGGGATAATTTGGAAAACTTCACCTGACATTCTTAAGGATTTTAAAATCTCAACTTGGACGAGATTAGATTTTTTTTTTTTTTTTATCAAAGGACACAAATGGATAACTGTTATGCTTTCAACCATAAAGCCTCAAAATAAAAAAAAAAAAGAACAAAAAATAGCCTTACTTCCATGTTAAGAAAACCAAATTAAATACTCTTGTCATACCATAAAAACTATAAATTAACTTTAATTTTCTTTTATCCCCTGATACAATCCCCACTAATTTTGTTTCTGCTATTTCAATTCAAATAATGTCAATCCCCACTAATTAAGTAGAGAAAGCGTTTAAATGAAATATCTCTACAATAACAAAGCAAGAGCAGGTGATTTAGTGTAAATAATCTGTTATCACTTTTTAAAATTCTTTTTTTACTTTTCAAACAACTTCTCACCACTAATCCCTTCAACTCAACTACTAACATCACAAAACCAATAAAAAATATATATATATTTATTACTTAAACATAACTGCTTATGGATAGTTGTTTGATTTAACATTTTTGTTTGATTTTTTTGAATTAGCTTTTTTATTTACTATTTCTAGATTTTGTTGTCAAATAATAAATCTACATTCATTATTTCACTTGACAAAATTTTTTAGGCACATCTTTCGGTCAGTTAGGCACTCGGTGTCTTAGAAATATAAAGCTTTGATAAATCGCCATCATTTACAGTGACACCGTAAAAACTTCACAAGTTGTACTAATAAAATATCAATATATTTTTGAATAAAAATATATATACCTTCACAAGTTGGATACAGAATATATATTGATATTTTAAAAAACTTCACAAGGTATTTTGAATAAAATATCAATATATTTTTAAAAAAATAATATAATAAAATTTTGGTTAAATGTCCAAAAAAATACCCCATCCAAATTCCAAGCATGCCCTTTAAACTATACAAAAGCGAAGGCCAAGTGGCCCAAGTGGGCAAGTGGAGGCTTCCTCCACGTGGCTAAAAGGGCGCAGATATTTATAAAAGGGTCCGTGATGTTGCCAAGCAAGGATCGCCATATTTCTTGTCCGTACCCCTAATTTGGCTGCGCGGCTCTTTAATGAAGGCCAAGATCACGTGGACCCACAAATAAGGATCACGTGAGAAAGGTATATGTAATTTGCCCAAATCACTCTTTACAGCACATTTTCACATTTTCCTTTTTTATTTGTGAGGTTAGGAGAGGGGCTTGGGTTTGGTTCATTCTTCTGTTTTTTCATTTTCAATTTCATTTTAAAAAATTTGTTTGTTGTCGTTTTTTTTCTATTTTTTTCTTTTAGATTAGATTAGATTACCAAATGCACTAATTATGCAGATTTAGATTAACTCAAGACAATTATGGTGAAAGGCCTCAATGGGTAAATGTCCGAGGCTTAATTTAAACTAAGAAAATTTATTCAAAATATCTTTCACATTTTGACAAATGAATTTTTTCATCATTCACTTTTAAAATAATAACTTTTTATTTTTTACAAAATCAAGTTGGTAAGTTTTGGTTCTAATTTATGTTTTTGACCAAAATTTACCTTGAATTTATTACGTGACACGCACATGATCGTTTTTTGGGGTAAAAAGGTTAAATCCCACTTGTAGTTAAACAAATGGTCCTATTCATATTCATTTTGTCCTTAAAAAGTAAGATCTAATCTGAATCATATTCATTTTTTCCTGTAAAAAAAAGTGAAATCTAATTCAATCTATATTCATTTTTGCCATTAAAAAAAGTAAGATTTGACCTTTTTATACATAAAAAATAATTGCATGTGGGTCACATAGTGATTTGAAACTAAATAGTGATAGAAAACTTAAATTGAGACTAAACTTTGCTCATTTAAATATGTAAAGGATGTAAAGTTAACATTTTAAAAATAAATAATAAAAAATTTCATTTGATAAAATATAAAAAATGTTTTGAATGATTTCCATTTAAAATAAGGGTACGTTTGATAAAACTGAAGTTTGAAAATTGAAATCTGAAAATCTGAATTCATTAAATTATTGAATTGTTAAGTGTTAAATCTAATACATTTGAGTATATATCACATTCAATAATAAATGAATAGTTTATCGCCTAT